TAAACTGATTTTGCATTCCATTCTATTGAAATCAGTCTTTTTAATCGCAGTCGGCCTTGTCTAGGAAACTGATTTCAGAAGAAAAAAAAAGAGACTGACGTTGCGCGATCTCTTCGAGTTAAATCATCGATCGATTGGTAGCTTCCTTGAGGAATAAGTGGTATTAATCGTCGTGACGATGCGATTACGTCACGTAGAAACAATCAGTCATGTAAATTTTGTATTGAAATTTAATAGCAATATATTGTCCTTTGTTTCATTGATAGTGAATTACAATTTGTAAACTCTTTCAAATTATATCCGTTGTTTGTCTTTGCCTTTATTTTTTATTCTAAAAGTTATTTCATTTCTTGTTTGATTTATTCTTTCTTCGTTGATCTTCCAATCTTGTTTCCTCTTATATATATATATATATATATATATATATATATATATATATATATATATATATCTCAGGAAACTCCATCAATTTATCTCGCGTAATGTATTTGAATCTTTGAAGATTAAGAGAAAGATAAACGTAGAGTCCTTAAATGTTTTCAGTTTAGATCTAGATCGTCTCGAGATCGTTCTCATTTCGTACCGTTACTATCACTTCGATACGGCCGAAGCGGAAAGACGTAACTTTCCCGTCGCTCGGTATATCGATCACCAGCTGAAAAAGCGGAAAGCTTAGCCGGACGGGATAGCGAGTTCTCTGCGCGGGTTTCGATTCGATAAATCCCGATTTGCCCGATGCGCCGAGACCGAGAGATCTCGTCATCTCGTCTATTTGCGGTTTCTTGCCGCTTTGAGCGAGTAGTAATCGTCGTATACTTTGCGTTCGGTGGCGAGGCACGCCTCTCGTGATTTATGAAGGCTGTTTTACTTTACGGACCCCCGTACGACAACGACATCGTCTCTCCGTTACGTAACGTTTATAACGTCGAGCTCGCGATTCTCGCGAGATACACCGCAATTATCTCACTCGAAACGACGCGAAATCGCACGTCTAATCGCGTAATAATACGCTCCGCATGTCTAATCTGCTCCATTTGCTACCGATAATGGAACTACGATAAAATATCACGATTATACTTGAGATCATGAAAATAAAAGGAACAAAACGTTCGTGCAACAGCACGGAAGTCATGACAAGTCGTAACAATGTAATTATAGTAGAAAAAAGATATATATATCGAGATTAATTCATACTTTAGTCAAACGTTTGATACGTGATCTAAATGTAACTAACGTTATTACAATTCAAATTAAGATTACGTTTTCTGACTCGTAACGCGTGCGCGCGCGGCATATTACATTTATTTATTACTTATTTAACATTTTATTGAGATAGTTAATCGAGATTCAAGGATTTTTCGCTCTTGGTTCGAAAAATATAAGAACCCGGTTACACGCGGGCGCATCCTTATCTGAGGCAGATGTCTCGATCAATTACCGCGCGTTACGGCACGCTCCTGTCCGAGTTCCGAAAGCAAATTGCGGATCTTTTCGGCGTGCGCCTTGCGCCGAGTGTCGAGTGTCGAGAGACTGAGAGATTACATCTTGTCGCAGGAGTCTGTAATTATTTCGTCCGAGTTCCTGTGCGCGTCAGCGCACGGCCGGCCGTCGTCCTTTCTGCACAAAGTCCATTCGCGCATCCGAGCACGAGCCACAGCCGCTGACTCTTACTTTGTCTTGTCCTTTGTACACGTAACATATAATATCTGTCTCGCGAGAAATTGTATGTTGCATAGGTTGCATAGGTTACAAATTCTTTTCCGGCAAACGCGATTTTTACATAGAGGATATAATAGCATTGTAAATTGTCAAATCATTTTTACATCTTTTTAACACAATTGAAAGAAATATCTTCTTTAAGTGACTCTTATTATAAATATCCATCAAAAATTATATTTGAAAACGATTAAAAATTATAACCTCTTTTCCATTTCCTAGAATGTTACACTTGGAATACTACTTAGTTATAATTATTTGTTAATGAATATCTCATGGTGGCAAAATGTAAAGAGAAATTAACGACGAGACGAGGAGGATGAAACACTGTAACAAGACGAGACATATTGACATCCACGGGAATATTAATATTTATGAGGCTCTGTCAGCCGCCAAGAAAAAAGAGACACGGCAGCTCACGATAGAGTGAGTACACTGCGTCACGCGTGTGCATGCGTATGCACGCGAGGACAAAGCCTCGGTCGCGGTCGCGGATGCGTTTTAGTAGAGAGAGAGAGAGAGAGAGAGAGAGAGGGAGAGAGGGAGGGGAAGAAACTTCCTTCGAGCAGTACACACGTGACATGCGTGTCCGACTTTAATGACCGTCTTGCACTCTTCTTTGTCCTTTTTCTCTTTCTCTTAATTCCAATCCTTTATTTTCTCATGAAAGAGAAATTTCAGCACTCAAGATTGTTATGTTAATAATTCTGCGAATATCTAAGAATCGAGAGATTACGAAATTTTATAAAATTTCCCGGAAACGAGTTTCTCGCTCATCCGCGAAATCTCGTCTCAGATCGTTCAGCTTGATCTGTATCCCGGAAGCTGCGTTCGCACGCAGAGAAGTTGCTGCGGACTGCTCGTAATAAAGTTGAGCGTAAAACGAGAAACCGTAAAGGCAAAACGAGTTACATTGAGATGGAGAGTGAAGGAAGAGAAAAGAGAGGAGAGAGGGATTTAATAACCGCTAATTATCCGGATGGCGAAAGGTTCGGCGATGACTGGACTTCTCTACCTGCAATTCTTCACGCGAGTTGTACGATTCTTTGCCGCAATACTCAAATATGGCTGCTTTAATTCGACTCGTGGAAACGTTTAATGAATTTTGTAGAATTGTGATCTCGACTCGAGATGCGTGATTTAATATAAACGTGATAATTGGGATGCTACATTTAAAGTGCACGTTCAAGGAAAAAAGTGTAACTTCGCAGATAATGTCTGCTTCGCTCTCTTTTCACGCGTTCTGGTTTCGCGTGGCATGTTCGGCCTCGTAATAACAATCACGAAGAGTGCTCTCTTTTGCTCGTGGTTTCCGAGCCGTGTCGACCTCGGCGGCCGTTTCCCGACGGAGCGGAGTTGTATATCATCCGCAGAAACGTTTCGCCTCCATCCGAAAGTATTCCTTCCGCCGCAACGTTAATTGAATTGCGTGCTTTCGAATGAGTGAATAGGAAGTGAATAACGTGATCGACCGTACTTCCAGTTCACGTTGTTCCTATCTAAAAAAAAAAAAAAAACATCCGGAAAATGTTTCAATTAGAAAAGAAGCATTTAAAATCAGTCTTGTAAGATGTGATGTGTAATATCAAAATGATTTTCTTTTATAATCAAACGTTTATAATAATTATATAAACTATGTAGAGAAATAATTTCAATTTGGAAAATCAACTTTTTCCTATGCGATCTCGTAAATGTGTTTATTGGCAATTTTGCGCGCTGTCATATCCATCATCCTGTTGCTGCCTCTCGTCCGCGAGCTTGTAACCGTTGTAAATCGCTGGTAATGCCCGTCGTTACATTACGCTACGCGCCTACGAGCCGCGTTAACGACCGAAAAAGCGAGTGACGACCTCGTGCTAATCGACGACAAGATGAACTTTGATTATGTGACGAGCGAAATGTTGCTTTAGATCATGTGTGGCGTGTTAATAAATAAGTTCAGACGAATACTAATGGATTTTATGATAATCATTATGACGACAAAATGTGAACGTTTAAAATTAGCTTGTTCAAATTTTTTTCTTCGTGTCTATTTATAATATAATATAGACCTTTTTTTTAAAAAGGTTAAATGAGAAATTAAAAAACGTACCATTAAAATTTAATATTATTTTAACAATGTTTTCTAAATAAAAAATAAATAACATAAAACTGTCTAGATATTTGTTAAACTAAATGATCCTTAATTTATCCTTCTTGTAATTGTAACTTTTTATTATGCAAACGTTAAATCTTAACGGAACAGATATATAGAGATAGATAGAGAACTATAATTAACAAGCAGCTAATTATCCGCATGGATAACATCGAGTCTTGAATTCCAGATTCATGGGCATTGGAATAGTATTAATTAATTGGTCGATTAACATTTCCGTGTTGCATAGCTTTCTAGTTCCAGCTATGTATCTTCGAATTTTTACTTTAAAAAAAAATCATCTTAATATGTTCGGTGAATATATATTCCAAAAACTGATCGGTTAATTCAAACGACGACGCCTGGTATCGTTCGCGTGCTTTTTCTCATCAGATGGTCTTAATTATTATCACAAGAGATACGCAGTTCAAGATGCTGCTAGAAGACTGCTTATCGCATCACATTCGTCACTCGCTGATAAGTCAATACGCTTTGGATGATTCCGGGTCGAACTAAATCATCGATTCTTATTATAATATCCCATTTGAGCAAGAACCCGTTAACCTTTCCAGTACCTAATTCGGGTAACCTTGCGTTATTTTCATTATTTAAGCAAATTGACGCCGACAAATATAATTTGAGTAAAAGATAATTTTCTTTGTTCAAAATAGAGTTTGAAGATTGTTCGGTAGCTTGAGAACGTTACGTCACCCGTTCTCGAGACCCAAATGCGTTATCAATGTTGCTATTACGACAGCTGCTACTTTGCTAGCATGCGTAACTTCGCATATGCGATCTTTCTTAACTTGTTGCGACCTAATAAGGCACACTAATATTAGTCGATTGTTTATCTCGTTTTATTCTGTATTTAGAAAATTAAGAAAATAAGACTGAAAGATAATGGAATAATATGATAAATATGATGAACTAAAAACTTTCATTATAACGTACATAATAACACACAGAAAAATATGATAAACGAGTTTTTATTAAATTACTTAAATATACTTTTTCTCAAAGTTTTACACAATTTACACGAAAAGAAGTATAATCGCGAATGTATCAGAGGGATAAACCTGTTGGTTGTATCGGTTCTTACATCGATACTTAGGCAAACGATTCCGAAGCAAATAATGAATTATTCATACAGAGATCCATGGCTGAAATCATGAGTTAAAGGTCGTCGAATAAACGATCCATAGAAGAAGACTCCGTATGATTTTTACCAACTTGATGTGATCGATCAAACTTCATCAGAGGATACGCTTCGAGATGCAAGATGTTGGAAACTATTGACATAAATCTTACATTATAAAGAATAAATATATGCACATGATAAACTTGTATATTTTTCTCTACCATTATTATTATGAGACATGAGAAATGTGAAATATTGAAAAATTTTACTTAAAAATCAAGAGATATGTTTTTTGCCGTTATTAAAAAATAAAATCGAGAAGAAACAAATTACTTATATGTTTTTCCGAACGGAAAAAAAAACAAGTTTTAAAAATTAGGAAAGAGAACATCGACGCGGATACATCTAAAATATTTATCATGTGAACCCTATTGGTTCCACATGTCAAAGAGAAGGAATTGATAAGAGCTCGTTGAAGATGGACGTGAACGTATGTTCACGCCGTGTTCATGATGGTTACGCGACCATAAGATCGCGCGGCAGACGGCCGCGTGCCGTCTATCGTTCCGACTCCGAGGAACTGCTAAAGGAAGCAGATGGTCCGTACGCTTTGCCACGTTTCTCCAATTTCCGAGTGGTCTCGGAAGATGCGCGACAGGTGCCCAGATGGGCCGACCTTGGCCAGGATCAATCACTGATCGAGAATTACGGCACCTTACGCACCGTCAAATTACGGGATTTTGATGAGCCGCGCAAAGTGACGCTGAAGACATTCTCTCGGCGAGACAAATTTGGCAACAATTCGAGAAACAGCGCTTCACAAGGGGATTTCCAACGTTCGAGAGAAAATAAGAGTAAGAATTGTGAAATTCAACAGAAGAATCGCGAAGCCGATGCCAATTTCCGCGGTCATCATGCATGGAAGTCTGAAGACTGCACTCTTTATGATTGGGATCGGCGAATTTACGATACGGTACCAATAGAGGATAATCAAACAACTCTAAAGTCTTTCTGCGTCATTGGCAAAACTTCTCAGGAAAATGATTTTATTAATACCGATAACAATCGATGCGATATATTTAAAAAATCCAAAGAGGATGTCGAAAATCTCAACAATTGTTCTATAAAAGATACGAAAAATAGTTATATTTTCAAAAATAAGGATGATCTTCATGAAGCGGAGACTGATGAGCGAAAAAGTGGTAGCGAATTGGAAAACGGTCTCAATTACTCGAAAAGCACTCCCATCTTCAAGAATGATCTGGAAAACACGAAACGGAAATTTTCTAAAGACCGACAACCCATTTATGCGGTTCCTCAAGTGTTTTCCAAGCCAAGACGTCGATTGATCACAGTTGACGGAAACTACGTTCCTAGTGGCGATCTCTACCGCACTGCGGCCAAGTACATTGAAGACATTAACCGAAATCTTGCGGAGATCGACAAAAGTTATGAAGTAATGAAAGCGAGTCCTAAAACTTACGGAGTGATCAACAGAATTGCCAAGGATGAATTGTCACCGCAAGATCAATCCAGAAACCTTTTTGACTACGTGCGGAAAAGAAACATGGTACCCATGCCGCCTATCAACGTCGATATAGACGATGTTGAGGAAAAAAATGAAAAAGAATCCAGAAAAGATGTCAAATATCTTCGCAGACCTAATTCTAAGGGTAAACTTCCACCCAAAGTCTTGCCGAGGTCTTCATCCATTGAAAATACGTCTAGGCATTCGACGGGATCTACCACTGCTTCTTCAAGTAAATCTACCGAATCTTTATACGCGATTAGCGAATCTTTGACAGAACTGTCGAAGATAAATGATTTTCAAAAACGAGATCCAGCCCGAGATAAAACTTCTCAAGAACTGGTTTTAACTGGGACAAACAATTCGCAAGATCAATCGAAATCTATCAACAGGGATATTCCGAAAAAAATCAAATCTGCAAATTTGAAGAATTTGTCATCTTCGGCAGATGACAAAGTTTCAATTCAAAAGAATCGGTTGCCGGTCACCAGCGCGATTCGAAGGAATCGTTCTCGAGTCGACCAAGCAAAATCATCAAGGAAAGAACGAGCTTCTAATGAGGGCTTAGAAAAAATTTCAAGCAAATTGGAACAAATGCGATCCACGAGTCGTTTGAAAGATCGTCGATACGACACATTGCCCTCGAGAAGACCTAGAATCTCTTCAAGACCGCTTCACAAGTCCAGCGAAGATGTGCTTGATAGCGAAAGATTCTCTCATGACGGTCTACAGAAATCTTGTTCGGACAATGATGATATCGATCGAAAACAAAGCGTCGACGAAAACCTCGCGGAAATTCGGCGAGGTCCTCTTTATGTCATGGACGCTACCGAAGTGATTCTCAAAGGACAATTGGAGCGATCCAATTCCTTACAGCGGCAGGATCACTTTTCCAGAACTAGACACAACTCTTTGGAATTCGAGGAAACGGAGGATAACAAGATTCAAGCTAGCGCTTTCGCTACTCTACCGAGAAGAGGGAACCTCGCGAAAGATCAATCCGATTCTCTTAGGAGGTTTTCTGGAAATGGACCTATCTTAGAACCATTATACGAACATGCGGTTAGTGATCCTGTGAAACCACGAGAAACCCAGAATATGATACCTTGGTGGGAACTCGCCACCAGGAAGTACAGACATCGCAGTTGCCCATCCTTACAGGTAAATTGGATTGAAATTGATAGTAAGTCGCGTCGAATAGGGACGTTAAAATCGTGATTAAAATCGCGCCTCGCAATTTTAATTGTTAATTGTTAATTTACAGTGTGAGAATTACGATAATAATAATTATATTATAGAGCTATTATAATTTCTAAAAAAATTGAATTTTTTACAGTAGCAAAAGAAATTTATAATTGTTAAGCATGCATTTTAATTTATTCAACGCAGATTGCTATGTAGATTTACAAGTAAGAAATAGAATGGATCACATACAGTATTTAAATTTGCGAGATCATATATTTTATATTGACACTAGTGGCAAAGTCTAACCATCTTATTAGGAATTAATTACGGAACAAAACAACGATTTTATAGATTATAGTTTCTAATGATTAAATGACTAAATGACTAAATGATTTATTCTTCAAAACGCACTGATATTTTATTGCAAATGTAATTTATTATTTAAACATTAGTCTAAATAAAAATTATTAAGATACTATTATTGATGTGAAAATTTATTAATAGATAATATTAAGCGTTAATGTTTAATAAAAAATGGAAAAGAAAAGATATAGATTTGCGTTCAAATTGTCGTGCAGATATATTAATTCGAATGCATCGACTTCGATCGATTATAAAATACGTCTAGATATGATTTATTCGCAGCAATCGCTGCGAGTAGTTAAAGCAATGAAATAATAAATTCGATAATGAGGCCCCGCCGTCGAAATTGAGCTCGGCACATTCCGTCGGTGCATTTAGAAAGAGGACGATGACGCGTAATAAAGCGTAGGTCGGCAATACCGCTCGTGGTCCCGATTGAATAATTATGCGCGCATACTTCGGCACTCTTTGTAATCGTGCCCTACCCCGACGACGACAATGTGATTGTCGTCAATTGGAATACGTACGTTACGTGCTGCATCTTATGTAAGAACGAACATTCGTTCTAAATCCCTGAGAGACGGCTTCTTCCATTTTCATTTTAATTTTTACTAATATATTTTTATCTTTTTTCTGATTTTCCTTTATTCCTATTATGAACATTTTTTTCTCCTTGATTACGTTTAAACAATAAAAAAAATAACTGGTAACGCGATAATCTTAGAACTTGCTTTATAACTCGGTATGGATGACACATTGGAAATGCGAGCCCTTTTTTCACTTTTTTTCTCTCCCTCACTTATCGAGAACGAGAAAAGATATGTGAGGAAAGACAGCCCATGATTATCGACAGCGCTGTAGGGGATTGCACAATTAACCGGCATCAGAAACGATTGGCCAATCGCGAATTTTATTCTCTACTATGTATTCCGTCTTCTTATGCAATCCGCTCTTTCGTGGTCTCGAAATACTGCAATCACAATTGATTAAAACATCAATTTTAGTCATCGGCGCTTCGTGCAACATGCCTTCTGCTTACTTTCTCCATCCAAATTGATCGCTGTTTAGGATAGATCTTTGCAATTTGAATGTCATATATACATTTCTCTTAGAAAATATAAAATTTTATATAATTTTATTTCATAATTTAGATTATGTTAATGTTAATTTATTATAACTTTTATTATTTTATATTGTATTTCAATTTACTTTTTGTATTTGATAGAATTATATATGTAAAACTTAACAATTTAATTTTTTAATATATATTTTAAAGCCTTAAATTTAATTTTTTTTAAGAATGAATTATTAGAGAAATTTTTTTTCCTTACGAAAGAAAAATTTTTCTACCGAGAAATACCTAAATCTACAGGCAAATAAACAATTTTTGTAACCGTATCTTTTTCTTCGTCTGAAACATTCGAGAAATATTTACCTCATGTGGTGAAAAAAATGTAAGATTATCTTTCGGATTTGTGACAGCCATATTGTAAGCGCTTTTGTGGAATCCCTATTCCTGTAGAGAAAGAAAGATTTATGCGTTTTAAGAGTATACTTTTGGCCGGATATCGTAAACATATACACTTTCGTTTTTCAAGTTTAGACGAAATTATATATATTCTTTCCATTTCATCTCTTTTTCTTATAACAAATAATAGTTAATACTGGTCGCAATTTTTCACGAAATATGTGAAAAATTACTTTCAAAATATTAAATTAATAAAATACTAAAAAAAATTGTCTTAAATAAATAAACTAAATGAAAGTGTGAGAGCGTAGTTCGAGAAGACCTTGGCCCTGAAAATGTCCTTGTAGCATTAATTATTAAGTACAATGCTAAAATATAATGTTGAACCCTCACCCTTCTTTCTGCTCGAGCAATTATACCGGGAAACACATCATGATGGGAACATCGAGGATAATGTGTGTTGTGAACACGGCGTAATCCTCGAAGCGTTACGACCCCAGCTAACTGGGCTAACAGTTCCCAGGCCACAAAAGAGCGATATTCTTCTCGGCGAAAAGCGTTACAGGATGTTGCAATCTCACTCGAAAAATTTGAGATACGATTCTACGGAATTGCAAGGTCCTGGGAGGATTTGCTAAAATTTTTCCATACTTTATATTTTGAATTCAATAAAATTACATTTAATTCATGGATGATTCTTCAAGATGTCACTTTTGAGTAATCAAGAAATTAAATTCTACAAATTCTCTCTGATCTCTTTACAGACTGATGATTCTAATACATAAGTTTTTTTTACAAAATTCATTTATAATTAATCTTTTCTTTATTTATTTTTATTTTATGATAATCCTTTAAAAAAAGATATTAGACAAATATAATTGAGCGAGAGGATAAAAATGGCGTTGAGAATGAAAATATCGATCTAGCCGTTCGTTCGCGATGTATAGTCGAGAGATGCACCAGCACACTCACTTGGTGTTTTCCCTGGAGAACAAGGCGAGTCACTGTACGCGGCGCGCGATGCATTTTGCTCCTCGGCACGTGCGTTTTTGCCGCAGGCTTCCGGTCCAGTTTTTAACCCCGTCCGTCCTCGACTCTATCGACCCTTCGTTAAGCTTGATGCACAACGAGGCGAAACCTAGACTTTTCCTCCAGTGAAAGGAAACTTTTCTCTATTATTGTAAGAAGTTGATACCAAGAATATATTAATATACAATTACAAATTAGACACTCTCACTGCGCATTTGCGAGCTTGATAAAAACACAGGTGATATATTCTTGTAGTCACAAATAATGCAATTTTATGTTAATGGTAACAACTTTTAACCGCAAATTGATATAATTTGATTATAAATCCAACTTAATTAATCTTCCATTAATTTGTCTCATATCAGTTCTTAAGGAAAAGAAAAAAAGAGTATAATTGTGTAGTTGAAGTTTTTGTTTTGAGAATCTCTTTTAAAAATTACATTCTTCTATATTTCAATATCGTTCCTATTTGAAATGACTATCTCAATTAAAATTGTATTGCCATAATTACGCATCATCCGCAATTGCGGCAAAAAGCGCATCTCGAGATCTCGAGGGATCAAACGTAATCTGACGTGAGACACGCCTGAAATAAAGTGCTCGAGGAAGGTGTAAGGCCGAGTAGGTGGGTCGTCGTTTTTACGAGCATACATCGTGTACGTACTCACTTCTCGCATACATTTACAGCGATAGGTGAAGCCAGGCACATTAGCGGCGAGCGTGGGAGCCAATATTTACAACCTATACCACCGAGGCTCATACAAGTGGACCTTCCGACCTCGTTTGGGCTCTCGAGTACTTTTTATCTTCTTCAAACTAACACGCACTGTCCAAACATTGTTGTTCCCTACTAATTAAATCCTTTGAAAGATTTTTTTTTATCGAAAACACGATTTATTTTTACAAAATGTTTATTTTTTAGTTATATAAGGTATCCCGTCCCGTTTACGCTATATCTCCAGATCTTTAAATTGCTATTTTTAATACAAATCAAATTCACAAACTTTTACTCTAGACATCTTTTTTATCGAAGGTATAAAGGTCGACGTCCGGGGAAGAAAACTCATATTCCAGTCGCAGGATCACGTCGAGAGTGATTTTACGTTGCACGTTAAAGTAATAAGATGGGACAATGGGACCCGGGACACCCGCTCGCGGCGGCGGAATTACATGTCCCACGTTTGCCGTTACCGTTTACGAGCGGTATAATTCCTCCGGAATTACGCGCGCGATTCTAGAATCGCACCCACACACGCGCGGAATCCTCGACTCTCAGAAAATTTCTTTGTTTACGATCTTGACGAAACTCCACATTCGTTCCTCACGAGGAAAAAGTCCCGCTGATTATCCTCTTAGAATTTTATGAGCGTCCGATTGCGTGATATTTCCGAAGCGGAAGAAAAAGATAGTGCTTACGTTCGTGGAAACACAATAGTGAACAGCTGACTCCAACGTTTGAGATTTAAAAGTCGATCCGGAGGAATCTTCTTGGGATCTTTAATCGTTGTAACGGGACAGCGATCGAAGTAAGATTTTCGATGATCGTGTTTTTTTTATTCCACAAGGAAGCACTCCGTTTAGAAAAGATAAAGGCTATAACGTTTTCGAATAATTTTTCTCTTGTTTGTAAAAAAGATTTAAATAAATAAGCTTTGTCTCCGCGATTTGAATTCAAAGTACTGTTAATCGTTAAGCGAGTCGTCGCTTCGTATATCGGTTACAGTTCTGAATTGTAATAACAAAAGTCTTGAAAAAAGAACAAAACTAACAATAGACAATTGTCGTCGCTCGGAAATGGACAAAGAAAATCGGCGGAGCGAAGAGAGAGAGCGAGAAGGAAGAAATCAACTGAGAATTTACATCGCTTCAGTTTAGATTATCAAACGCTTCGTCGGCACAAAAGCACTTTCTGCCTTTCTTCCTTAAATCAGCCACGACTGATTATCTTCCTCGCCTCATAGCGTAGCATTGAAAACATGTCCAGATGAGAGAATTATGAGAGAATAATTACGTGACGAGAAACACAAGTCCGACGGCACGATGATAGGTGCCTCTCGTAAAAGAGACTACAACAACGACTATGAATCTCTCCGCCCCGCGTGTTCATCGCAAATTACTTCACCAGGCATAGCTTGAAACATATCATTTGACAAGATAAAAATTATTTTGACAGAGTCACCATGTACATTTTCATATATTTTTGTATTCGAATAATTGCAAACTCTCTTTATAATAAACAAAAGAATAAACACTATGAATAAATACTATATTTTGTAATTAATAAAATAAGAAATAAAATTACTGCGTATTGTGTATAATATTAAATTACTTAATTTAAAAAATAATATATATATATATATATATATATATTCTAAAAGCATTATCCTAAAAATTTTTACAATTATATTATTAGCGCTAGAGATAATGAGATATGACAATCTGTAAATGATATTTTATGAAAATTTAAATTTAAAATACTTGATAAAAACATACAAATGTTAAAAATTGTGTTGTTTCAGGCGCATGTGGTCTCAGCTTTCGAGCAATCGCTGTCCAATATGACTCAGAGATTACAGCAACTTACAGCTACAGCTGAGAAAAAGGTAAAAATGCCTTAAAAATACTAATAATTGATAGAAATATTATATTTTAATAAATTCTCTTAATATTTTTGGTGAAAATAAAATTGGTTTGGTTTTTCTTTTTTTAAATTTTTTTATCGGCAATTTCATAGGATTCCGAGCTTCAGGAACTCCGGGAAACGATCGAAAGGCTGCGCAAGCAGAGTGCTGAAGCTGGATTGAACAACGGATCAACTGCAAACAATGGTCGTCGTCATACTTTAGGCGACTCCGAATCCAATACTACCGGATGCACAGGCAGCGGCAGCAACAATCATCATCAGGGCGCATCAATGGCAAGACAGTTGTCCGCGGACAGCGTGACATCTCTGAATTCGCTAAGCAGCGCCTGCTCGGCCAGTAGCAGTCATCACAAGAAGAAGGGCTGGCTACGTAGCTCTTTCTCCAAAGCATTCTCAAGGTCGCGTAAAAACCGACATGGTTCGGTTTCCGATGCTGAAGATTGTAAGGAAAGTCCTGGTGGTGATCTAAGCGCTCCCAACAGTCCTAGATTGCCATCCGCATCTAAACATGAGTCTTCAAGAGCACAAACTGTGAGAAGCAACGGCCAGAAATCTCCTGATCATGAAAATCCTCTATCAGGAAGCAAGAGCAGTTCGGCACTGTATAAAAAAGAAGACGAGGATGTGGACGAGTTGAAGAAGCAGTTAAGAGAGAAAGATCTAGTGCTGACAGACATTAGATTGGAAGCGTTATCTTCAGCCCATCAGCTGGAGTCTTTAAAGGACACGGTTATCAAAATGAGAGTGAGTGAAATTTAGGAAAGAAATTCTTGTTTTAATTTAAAATTATTATCAAAGTTCAAAAAGTTTAATAGTTAATAATTCAACCTTATAGTTAATAATCTTATAGTTAATAATTCAAACTTTTAATATAGAGGAACATAATTTTTACATTTAAAAAAATCATTTTATGACATAGTTTTTTTTATCCCACAGTACGAGATGCTGAATTTGAAACAGAACAATGAACGTCTCCAACGACTAGTGACCTCGAAATCGCTCACTTCGTCGCAGTCCTCTCTACCCAGTGACCCAGATCGACGCTTCAGCATGACCGAGGTGGCATCGAGTGTCGCAGCGCTGTCAAATGGCGATGTCAGTTCCACGGCCGATCAACTGGAAGATCTCAACGTCCCCGTTGAACATACGGTGGTACCGAGCACTACAGCTACGGAACCGGTTCTCGAACAGGACACTGACGGCAAGAGAATCAACGTAGCCGTTTATCTCGGCAGTGAGCGAAATTTCAATTACAATTTGATTACCGGGAGTTCTGCTGACGGTACCATAGGCGAACCACCCCATTGCGTGATCGCCAACGTGTGTATCAGCAACAAGACCAGTTGGGACGCGTTGGATTCTATAGTAAGACGTTGTTTCAAGGAATATGTCTCTCGAGTGGACCCTGTAACGAATCTAGGTCTTGGCGTCGAATGTGTCGCCGCATATCATCTTGGCGAGGCTTCCAGGTACGCGTTTACACTTTTCATTTAGATTCCTAGATACACGACATTAAATAAATAATGAATAAATTTTAAAATTTACAAGGATACTTTCTGAGATTTGTTTCTTTTATCTTCTGTTAATGTAGTTGAAATCATTCTCTTTATAGGTGCACTAGCGATTCTCAGCATCCCGAGTTGTTACCTTGCGGCTACCTAGTTGGTCACGTGAAGACTATTTATCTAGTATTATCAGGTTATTCCTGGCTAGCGGTGGATACTTTGATACCGCGCTCTATCGTTCAGCGACTAATTTCCCTTCTGACGGAACATCGCAGAGTGATTTTATGTGGTCCAAGTGGTACAGGAAAGAGTTACCTGGCCGGGAAATTGGCGCACGCTTTAGTAGACACCGACAATGATACGAAGGATGCTGCCGCCGTCGCAACTTTCAACGTTGATCACAAATCCAGCAAGGAATTACGCCAATATCTCGCTCATATTGCTGAAAGATGCGATTCGAATGCAGCTGACGAGTTGCCCAGAGTGATTATTTTGGAAAATCTTCAACACGCAGCATCTCTGGGTGAACTCTTCAGTGGACTCTTAGGAACTAGACACTCATCCTGTCCTGCCATTATCGGTACCATGAGCCAGGCTACCTGTAGTACCACCAATTTACAATTGCATCATAATTTCAGGTACCTATACTTTTGAAATGAATATATATCTAATTTATAATTTTAATATTGTATGTTTGAAGAGTGGCTTTGGATGTAATTAGAAAATTGTAAAGAAATATTCTTAAAGAAAGATTTAGCATAAGAAATAAAATATCAAAAATTAATAATAAATTAATAGTTATGATACATTTTACTGTGAAGTAAGGTACAATATATCTTTTATTTTTCTAATTAAAGAACGAAAGAATGAAAAGTTGATATTTTAACGAATTAAATTTTGATTACGTAATTAAACAGGTGGGTATTATGCGCGAATCACATGGAGCCAGTTAAAGGATTCTTAGGACGTTACCTGAGAAGGAAATTATTGGAGCATGAACTACGCGAATGCGCCGGTACGAGAAACGCAGAAATGGCCGCAGTAGTCGAGTGGTTGCCGCGGGTTTGGCTGCATCTCAACAAGTTCCTAGAAACTCATAGCAGCTCCGATGTCACCATAGGTAGTTGGAAATATCTAAAATATATTTTTATATTTCAGAAAATAATAATCTGAATCCAATAAATTTAACCTCTGCCTGTATATTTTATTATATATATATATATATATATATATATATATATATATTATAATTCTTTATAATTTTGCAATTCTTAATTATTAATTCCTTTAGTATTAGTAATAATAGATAATTAATAATTTTCAATCGCAAAATTTAAGATCTACAGTAAAATTCTACTTTGTCAAAATTTTGTTTTTTTTATTTATATTTTCCTATTATTAATAATTATAAATAATATAATATTATAATAATAATAATAATAATAATAATAATAATAATAATTTATTAGGACCGCGACTCTTCTTATCATGTCCAATGGAAGTTGCTGGCTCTCAAGTATGGTTTACCGATTTATGGAACTATTCGGTAATACCTTATCTAGTGGAGGCAGTGAGGGAGGGATTGACGCTGTACGGAAGACGTGTAAGCGGAAACGGAAACGGCGAACTCACATGGGAAGACCCAGCACAATTCATCACGTCCAGCTATCCATGGCTCTCAACGCATGCTGTACACGGTGGCAGCGACGCTCTTCTGCGTTTGAGACCCGAAGATGTAGGATATGATGTTGTCTCCAGCGGGCATACTTCTGGTGTAGGTGCTTCTAGTGTGAAGAGCCTGGGAAGTACTCACAGTGATACCGAAGGAGATCCTCTGGTCAGTATTTAAAATATTGGGATTTAAAAACTTAAAAATGGAGGATTTAAAAACTTAAAAATGTAAACATTTAAATGCATAAGAATTTTAAATCTTAAATACTCGGAACATTAAAAAGAAAATGTCATGAGAATGGGAACTCTCCGGATTGAAAAATATTAATATTTATGATAGAAAATGCCATGTATCATAAAAATTAGATATTTAAATAAAATATTGAATATAATAAAATGATTTCTACATAAATTTCTAAATTTATATATTTTCATCGTATCATGGGAAGAGTTATTTCTTTAAACAAATATTCACAGCAATTATGACAAAGGAAAGAAAGAAGAAATTTTTATAATTCTGTATATATTAATTAAGAGAGTACCATTTTAGTTATTTATGTTGTTGTATGAACCAGAACTATTCAATGATAATGAAGAATCTTATTAATTAATTTACTTTAATTTTCTTGGATCTGTTTTTGTAGCTTAACATGCTGATGAGACTGCAGGAAGCAGCTAATTATTCGAGTCCGCACAGCAACGACAGTGACTCGGTGACATCCCTCGATTCATCGCATACTCGCCATTCTGAGGATTTAAACAATTCGACATCTTCGTCAAGAGGAGTAGAATCGGCACTCTAAATTAACAGGATATTATAAACAAAATTTATCGCCGAAAGGTCAACATATGCATGTCGACCATCAAGTGATTAAAAATACTATAAAAAGTAAAGATCAATAAATTTCACAATTAAACAATCATTTCGATCGCCGAATCCAGAACAAGAGAAAATTATTTATAAATAATGGATAATTGTAAACGAGAAATATCCTTATCAGAGAAAATAATCAGCGTGCGATGTTTCTAAGATTAAATCCAGGAGGAAATTTATAGGTATCACTATTCACTGAATCATATTTCCAAATCGAGATAAGAATTCATTTAAATATTGACGATAACTCTAATCGTAATAAACATCAAATTGCATGTTTCAAGTCCCTCTGAAATGCAATAAGATTAAAAGAAGTCACGAAGCGCCAGCTATTTTAAGATCACATTATTTTAATATCAACAATAGCTTCGTATTGATCTAAGAGGGATTCAAAATGCCTATTAAAGCTGGCCTAGATTTATAGATTTCTACGTGCATCCAGCATCTTGGTGTGATATATAATATTAAATGAATGAAGAACAGTAATAACAAATAAACGGCAATTTTTTTGTTCTTAAGAAAAATAAATGAATCGAAAGAAATTAATATAGAATCCATTCTACAAATTAAGTTTTACATCCCACAAATTGAATAAAAAATTTTTTAATTCTTTTTTTCTATTAATACTCTTGACTATTTAGCTGAGAACTCCACGTTGACAGTAGCGATACAACGTCGGTAAAAATTAGAAGCTTCTTCATCTTTGTTTATCTTTGTATTAAATGACAACTAAATTTTTTATTGCACTTAATTTCGTTATTATGTGCTTAATCGTGTAGATGTAACTTGTTTCGTATTTATCAAATTCGTAATAAAAATGGACGGCAATTAAAGTTACCGTTGAATTTTATATGTAAAAGCATATTTTCCATTTCTCTCAAGCTGTCAAATCGTTTTTCTGTCTGAGTAAATTTTATTTCACGTGCACTTTTACGGCTATTCATTAATAGTCATCCATTTTCACAAGTGTCTTAAAGCCATCTCAAATATCATTTTAGTCAAATATTTTTTTATTTGCAAATTACATGCAATAAATTTCACTATCATTTCTTGCTTATGACATCACAATTCCAATATGGCTACGGCGACTAGACAGAAGCCTTAAATAGAAATAAAAAAAAGTTTTTTAACACAATGGATGTTAATTTTTTGACCAAGATATTAATAAATTCCAAATAAACTTTCGATTTAATTATACCGTTGCTTGGGAAAAAAAAATTATATTATTACATTAACATCTCAGAAATTTTTTAAGGCTCGGCTCTCGCTCCAGCCATATTGAATTATGACATCAGAAACAAGAAATGACATGTAAAAAATTTCTTGCGTATAGTTTTACTTTATACTTTTCTCTTAAAAACATATTTTAAAGAGATAGATACAAAATAAAGCTATACAGACGCAAGAAAATTTTTGCGTATTTCTTGCCTCTAACGTCACATAACTCATGTCGCATCACGAGAAAACTGAACTTAAATGGTTTCGCGAAACAGTTTTTCATCAATTTCTTTCGGTTCAGTTAATTTTTCATAGAGCACACACGCGAACGCAATGCAATAATCTTTATAGGCTGCCGGTTGCGGAAATTCTATTTTGATGAGACGCGTTTTTCACGACGAGATACAAGTGCGTAATTTAAAAAAAAAACGCATCAATCTCATCGTTTGATGTATACAGTATTAATGGCAGGAGTAAAAAAAAACAGTTTCGAATCGAGGAATCCTTAAAGAATAAAGATTTCTCTCTCGTCCGACTATTTTTCAGGTAAAATTATCTAAGTACAGACAGATCTCAAGGACGAATAAGCAACCAACTCTCATTCGTATGTGAAAACAAAGATAAAGTGAGTAAGTTCGAAACGATCATGATCTGTGCAAAAATAGTCTATTTATACATACTTTGCTACGAAAGCTCTATTTAATTAAAGAATGTTAATATAATATATATATAAATAGTATATATACATTCATACCTGAATGACGACGGCGCTAAATATTATATATATAAAACAAAAATGAAATTTCTAACTAGTTCGTAAGATACGTGAATAATTCTGGTCATGTAACGTTGTAAATATGACACAAAGCAAGATAGATTACGCTAGATGTGCGAATTCGACTCGAAGTCCCATACGAATGGGCCCCGATATCTCCTGCGATAATTTTACTTTTTTACATTTTTTACGTTTGAAATGTACTATATCTCGCAATTGACAACAAAATTCTTGCATCTCCTTCTTATCTTATTCTTCATTCTGAAATTATAAATATTTATTACATCGCAGAGATAATCTTTCTAAAAATGAAACAATTTTATATCTTTTTATAAGAAAAAAATATAAGAAAAATGAAAATGAGATGCTGACTGAAGAATAACGGTCGCAGGAGATAATACGGCATCCATGAAGACTATATATAATGTACATGATCGGTGGTTCCCGGTTGCGATAAAGTAAGAAGAGGGGACACGTTAATGTTACACATACGATAATACAATCGCATTTACAGGTTTTTTACGTTTGTACCGTATTTATATACGCTGTACACGGCGCCGCACTTCGAATTCTATTCAAATAACGATAATTAACTGTGTCATCAAATAAATCGCATTCAAATCTTATCAATCTTCCTTATTTCGCACTTTATATGTCTCTATTTAAGATAAAATCACATTTCAAGAGATTATTCTCAAGAAAGAACTATTTTCTTCTTAAGCAATATTCCATTAGAATATTACAATCTAAATTAATTAAAAGAAATTAAAAAATAAGTATATGCATTTATTTCAAATAATCACTTTCTAAATATTGAAATATCACAAGGTGATTTAAAATAAGTATAAATTAAAATCTTTATATTGTTGTTCTTTTTTTTGTATTTGTCTTGTATTTACAATGTTTAGAATCTTCAATTCTATTTTTATCATTAATCGTATCTTTTTGTAAATTTTTAATTAGTCAATTAACCCTTTTCTCTATTTTTTACAAGAGACATTATATCCGAATACTTTGCATAATCCTAAGAATTGTTGTTAAGCTATCGATGATCCAGAATCACATTGGAAACATATTTCTTTTTTTTCAAGCAATTTTCTACTACAGCATAAACGATCAGCAGTCTTCTACTTATGGCACTCAAGTGTGCTTCTGTGATGAGTGGAGGAACACCAGACATTGCAGCCTCATGTGCGAGGAGTCTACGTAACGCAATACTTAGTGATCCACCACTAAACAATTGTAATCTGTCCCATGTAGTTTTATGAATTCTGGAAAAAATTTACTTTTTCCATTTTCTCATTTTTTTAAACTTGTGATCTTTTTTAAGTATGATAATTAAAAGAGACACAAAACGAAAGAAGATTTCGTAGTCTCAAATTGCAAATTAAAGAATTTAAAATCTCATCTATAAGATCAACACAGTATATTGCATACTTCTTAATTTTACACAGTGTGCTTCTTAATTTACACAATTTTTACAAGAAGTTGCAAATTACTCACATGCAACATTGATAGAGAGGCGCCAGAATATCGAGATGATCTACATCAGGGTTGCCTAGACTTTTTCCATTATCAATTAACAGCACTGCAGGATTGTGAAAATTGTTCTGTGCGAGTTCATAATGATGCCGATCGCCATTGTCTATGAAGAAATCAAAAATGGACGTGTCGATCAAATCCAAAAGTCTGCTCGATGATTGTGGCGAATATGCCTTGGAATCTTTTACCTGAAAGAAAAATCATTTTCTCTATTTTCTAACATTAAATATTAATTATAAACAATGGATCTTTTTTATAATCGCATAATGTAAAAATTATTTGCTTGCATAAAATGTAATATTTTATCTTCTGATTTTATTTATTAATATTCAGTATTATTCAATTCTACATATAATTATAAAAATATAAAATTTATTTTTTACCTTATCACAATAGGCTTCATCAATTTCCCATGCAGCGAATTTGTTTTTTTTATAAGTCCGCTGCCAAGGATGACGATGTTTAACTAATTTTAAATATCGGGGAAGCCAAAAGATAAGGGCACCTTCCAGTGTATCCCCTATTCCGCAGACAGGATCAGCTGGAGAACAATAATGACAAATGCCGTATAGACATGTATTGTTACCCTCTTGATACATGGTTGCGTATAATGCCGGTGTCGCATATCTGCCAATCTCTTCTTTCAAGTCAACTGTAAGAATATATTCCTTAGTTTATTAAATTAGCGAAAATTCGGGTTATAGTTGGTTTATTGGCAAAATCGAGATATTAACTGCAAATTTCTAAAAAGTTAACTGAAATTTTGATTAAAATATGTAGAAATCTAATTTACATGAGTCTTGTCATTTTATTCAACTTACGTTTTCGAATAACGGTAAGTGGTACTCTTCGTAACGCCAGCAAAGATGATAAATGAAAGGCCACTACTTCAGCATTGTGACGATCTTTGCCATGATATACTGGACCATGTATAATAGCATCTCTTGAATACCACTGCGGCTTGAATAACGCTTTCACGTCGTTTTCGAGATTGAGCATAAGTTTCAACTGTGTACCTAGAGGAGCATTATCTGCACGAACTATTTTAGACTTTCGTAAAACTTCCAGAATAGTTCCCAGCTCTGGTGCTGCTGGTGGAATCAGCTGATGTGCATCTGGCCACTGTATATACAATAAAAATGACAATTATTATTATTTCCGTTGTATGTACAGTGGCCAAATGCGGATATTTATATTTCATTATTTCACAAGTTTTCAACTAAATACAGTATAAAATACTTGTAAATCAACAAGATGACTTTCTTTAAAACTTATTAAAATAATGAAATCTTCAAGAACATTAGAAACAGAGGGGTCAGAAATTAGAATTCAGCTTGTCTCAAATATTATATGTAAAATTGATGAATATAAATTTGCTATTAGAAATTATAGAAATTAATTCTTTTCAATCTTCACATAAAATTAAACTTAAACATTTTTTATGATTTTTCTGTTAGAAACTCAAAACACTTTAGAGAATTTTTAAACTAACATTATTATTAGGAATATTCCAGATATTCTCACGAGCATTCGGCATTATCATCAGCTCTGTCAATAATCGTTCCAGAACGAGAGTATAGCTGGTATTCTGTTTAAAATACTTGGAAGGCAGCGTACGAATTTCCTCTTTGATCCTTTCACTGATATTCTTTGTGACTGGCCTTAATTGCAGCTGCAAATCCTTTTCATTAGACCGCGAAGATGTGGAAGAATCTTGCTTGGCTTTTGGTGCTGGTACGTTTTTAGAATAGATTCTATGTGAGGAAGAACTTTCAATGATCATCCGAATAAAGTAGATATTTACGCTGAGAACCAAGATCAAGAGCATACTCAAGGCGAAAAGAGTGCAACGTCGGCCAATCATCTGCAATTTTTATAGACGTTTAGAAGAGTTTGATTATTAATATATCATAATAATATAATAATTAACTAATACATTAAATAATGTTTATATCAGAGCAAATTTCAACACATATCTGTTTCTAATAAAATCTCGCGAAAAGATTATACATATATATCTTAGTAACTTAATTTCCTTAATTCTTTCTAAAATATTAATTATCTGAATAATATTTCGAATACATTTTTTTCTCTATTTATAAATTTTGCAAAATCGCAAAATATACAACAAATAATTATTCTAGAACTAATTCTAGACTAATAGAATTGATATAAACATTTTTCTCGATCTTCTTCAAAATATGAAAAATGAACGTAAACAAAATTTCCCGCGTTAGTGACTGCATTACGCAATTCCTGCTTCCATTATGGCGATGTCATGACGTTCGTGATGTCGTTATTCGCAGCATCAACATCGATATAACTACTACCGTAAATTATAATTAACCAAGTTTTCCCGCTCTCCACCTGCATCACAATTATATATACATATACAGACTCTATTAAAAAAACACGCGTTAAAGAAATCACAAATTTTTATTCGTTCTCGGTGATCGATATCGGCCTACTTGACAAACTCATGATAACGAACGACAGCGATAACATTAGTTTCGGTCACATCTTCACCTTGAAGCAATTGGCCATGTGTCCGTTGTCACCTGGTGATGCGCGGCTCTCTCATGTTTCGCCGATCGTAACCAACGTCTCATCCGCGTGCGGACATCGTCGCCATTTTTATCGTCGGGTCCACAGCGACACGGTCCGGTGACGTCTCGCTGCCTATCGTTCCACTCACATTACTCCATTAGAATGAAACTTGGACATCAAAAAATATCCTTGTAGCTTTAAACTCGATTCATTTTTATAACCATTTTTGTAAACCATACACATTATACTTGATTTTTTAGAGATTATTTTAAACATTTGGACGTAATCTAATTTTATAAATAAAAACTAAAGGAAAACGGATATTTAGATAAATAATCTTGAAGCAAAAATTATGGGACGCATAGCAAAGAACAGCAATGAGAGTGACGAATTTATTTTATAAAAACATGTAAACTACATGTGTGAATATATAGACGAATTAAACTTAGGCTAACATATTCTGTCTCAAAAAACATTCCCCTGTGAACGTGCATATCGCACATATCGATGATGATGATTGCAACAGGGGGGTGGTGACGACAGGGTGACTTGGCTCGGTAGCTACTGTCGATTTTTTCCCTTAATTTTCATAGTTACATAATTCGTAAAAATAATTAAATATGTACACAATGTGTAATTATTTCCGCCTCACTCTCTTTCCCTTCGTTGTCTCTCACGTTCGCGTGCCAATTCTGCAGCATAATCGTATGGCGAGCTTCTCCTAAAATCAAAATGATTATTGTTTACAATATATGAATCAAGACATGAAAAATTGCAAATAATTCAAGCAGTTTCGTACAAATATCTTTGACATAAATTCTCATAAAATTTTATGTGATTTTAATATCATACAATGATTGTAACAAGGAAATGTATTCCCTTGAAATCTCCATTCTTATTCCTATTCTTACCTATCCCGATATCGGTCTCTGTCACGATGACGATCCCTGCTCCGGTCTCTATATGATCTATCTCTGCTGCGGCTTCTGTAATCTCTCTGTCTTCTACTTCTGTCACGGCTACTGGATCTTCTATGTCTGTCTCTCTCACGATCCCGTTCGCGAGCTCTTTCCCTATCACGCTCCCGCAATCTCTCGCGTTCCCGATCGCGCTCTCTATTTTTATCCTTACGATCCTCGTCGGATCTGAAAATAGATACGTTCGAATGGAAGTATGATATTGGTTGTCCCGATTGCGAGGTTCAATCTATGTGCAAGAGGGATTGTTAATATTTTATTTCCTCGTTAAATTGGCAAATGTATGATAAAAACAATAATTTCCTAATTTCCAAATGAATGACAATATTTCCAAATGAATCTATCCTTGCATCTTCCAACATAAGATAATCATCTTCCTTATTAAACTTGGATTTTACGACTCAAAATATACATAATATTTGAATTTAAAAATAATTTATGAGATAGCTCTTATATTGAACATTTACAAAAGGATTAATAACGTGATCGTTGTATTCATACCACGTGGACGCACCTGGCACGCCAGTGGCTCATACGTTCGGCCTCGCCCCACTGAGTCTCATTGTCGGGGATGTGTCGCGGTTGTTGATTACGTGATGTTAAATTGCCATTGTCCTTACGACCATCCTTACTGCCATACTTGCCGTGGCTGTTGAGAGTGATTGGCGGTTTAGCATTCCGTGCATTAACCTGTTGTTGTGGAAACCGCTCGGCTAGCCGTAGCTCCAAATCCTTTTGGATCGGTACCGGTATTCGTGGGAACAACGTAGAAACCACTCGAGTTTGGTGAGGAATTGTTTGAGAATGTCGCCCATTTTCATTACTTGCCCGCCGCCCGCCTTCACATCTAGCTCCTCTTCATCCTCCAAGTAGTCGTTGTACCAG